AAGTTATAAGGAGTTATTAGAAGTTATAATACTCTACCTTATAAGAAAGTGTACTATAAACTAGTGTACAGAAAGTACAGGTCAAGTCAGACAGAGTCATAAGAAGACTATAGAACAATAGAAAGCTCTACTTTATAAGAAAATCATTATATAGCTTACACAGTATAACTAGTTAGGAGGACTCATAAGAAGTCATTAGAAGTATGAGAGGAAGTATAGAAAACATAACAATATAGTAAAGAAGTTATTAGAAGATTAATCTAAAATATAAGAAGACACAAACTAGTGTTACAAGATTAATAGAAGACACAAACTAGTGTAGCATACAGTCTAAAGGATTAGCCAGCTTTACTTCATAGGAACAACAGTAAAGAGAGTTACTAAAGTCACTAGAGTAACATTACTCTAGCAAAAGGTATATAAGGAGGCTAGTTTGGCCCTTAAAAGATAGTTTTATTAACTTAAGTTACTTAGTACTTAGAAGTACTCTACTACTAACCTACTAGACTACACTTGTAGCTTGACTAAAGCAGGACTCCTCTACCCTCTCACTCTACAAGTCTACAAGTCTTACCCTCTATACTCTATTCTGTTACTATTCCTAAGGATTAGGACTAGTAAAGTGAGTATATCTTACACTAATTATAGACTGTACAAACTAACTATAATGTTCTTCAGACTAACTAACTTACTTACAATATTCTAGTCATTTATGAATCACATCCTAACAGATCTGATTAACTTAAAGTATGTTAGTGTGTATCTAGACAACATTCTAATCTTTACCTAAACAGTTAAGTACTACTACTAACTAATTTAAGTAGTTCTATAGTAGTTCTAAGATAATAAACTGTTCCTCTAAGAAGTAAAGTGTTCTTTTGTACAGGAGTTAGTAGATTATTTAGACTTTGTAATTAGAGGAGGAGAGGTCTGTATGAATCTAGTAAAGGTAACTATAGTTTAGGACTAGCTACAATCTTAAAACCTGAAACAGGTCTAAGTATTCCTTAAGTTTACAAACTACTACTAATGTTTTATTTAAGACTTTAGTACTATTGTCTAGCCCCTTTACAATCTCACTAGTAAAGGTGTTCTATAGTAATAGAATGTTTAGAAACAGTCTACTTTCAAGTCTCTTAAGTAGGTTATTACTAGTAAGTCTGTGTTAACAGTTCTAACAGTTACAAACAAGTTCTGAGTTAAAGCTAACTCTTCTGACTTTATAAATAGAGTAGTACTGTCCTAGTTTATTAACAGAAAGTATTGTCTAATAGTGTTCTAATCAGAATCCCTCTCTACAACTGAACAGAACTACCTTATTTATAATAAGGAACTCCTTACAATTGTTTGTTCCTTAGAGGAGTAGTATTAATATCTTCTTAGTATTATACAAAAGTTTAAGATTTAGAGTAATCACCTTAATCTCTAATACTTCTGAGCACCTTAGAAGCTTAACTACTATTAGACCTACTAGATGCTAGAACTGTAGAACTATAACTTTGTACTAACCTACAAACCTAGAATACAAATAATAAAAGCTAATCTACTCTCAAGACAAACAGGTTATAAAAGGGGGGAGAATAATAATGAAAATCTTGTTCTCCTTAACAATTCCTGTTTTGTGTCTAAGACAATTCAAGAGATCCAACTCAAGTCTAAAGATGTTAACTTTGTCACCTATATATAGTAAGCTCTAAGACACACATAAGACCAGGTTGTAGTAAAGTAGTTAGAGAAGTAAGCTAGAAACTAGAAGGAGGATAAGGATAGACAGGTTTACTAGGAAGACTGACTGTATATTCTAAAGGATTAAAAGCTGTAGAAGGATATTGTTTAAGCTTATTATAATAATCTAACAGTAGAACATTTAAGTAGACACAAAACACAAGAACTTATTACTTAGAACTACTAGTAGTCAGGAATGTAGAGAGAAATCCTAAAGTATGTAAGTAGTTGTAATATGTACCAACAGACTAAGGCCTACTAGACAAGAGTTTAGACTTCTTTACATTTGTATTAGATTCTGGATCACTCTTAAAAAGAGGTCTTAGTAGACCTGATTAGTAAGCTACTCAAGTCTTAGAGTTATAACACTATCTGTATAATTGTTGATTGTTTCTCTAAGTAAGTCTATACAGTTCCAACCTGAATAAAACTTAATTCTAAAAGTATAGTACACATTTATTAGAACTATGTCTTCTAGTTGTACAGACTCTCTTAGAAGCTTATTCATAATTGTAGACTGTAATTTGAGTTGAAATTTATATAGAACTTGTATACACTTCTTAGAATCTAAGAGAACTCCTCTACTATATATTACTTACAAACTAATAGTTAAACTGAGTAAGTCAATCAGGAGATTAAACTCTACCTCTGAATGTTTATTAATTACTAACAGTCAGATTAGTCTGAATAGTTAGCTTTAACAGAATTTGTATACAATAACTAGTAGTACTCTACTATAAGACAATCTCTGTTCTTCCTTAAATATAGAAGGTATTTATATTAAGAGACTGTTCTAAGCTAGAACAGGAGTTCTGAATCTGTAACAGACTTTATAGAACAGATACACAAGACTAGAGAGAATGTGTAAGCTTTTTTAGAGAAGGTAGTATAAGTTATAAAACAGAACTATAATTAGAAGAGGTCTATAGTCAAGAATTACTAGCCTAGTAACAAAGTAATACTAGAAGCTACTAATTTGACTATGAATTGTCTAATAAAGAAGTTGGACAACAAGTGCTTCAGACCCTTTGTTATTAAGAAGAAGGTTAGTATCTCTACCTACAAACTCTAACTCTTAACAACTTAGAAGTATATACACTTAATGTTTAACAAAGTTCTGTTGTCTTAGTACTATGACTCAGGTTTTCCTTCACAATAAAGACTCTTACTACCTCTACCAGAACTTGTTAGTTCTGAACCAGAATACAAAGTAGAGTATGTAGCTGACACTAAGTTAGTGTATAGAAAGCTTAAGTTCCTTGTCTACTAGAAAGAGTATCTAGTTGAGGAACACACTTAAGAACCTACTAAGAATCTTACTTATACTACTAATACAATCTAGGACTTTTATTAACTTCATCTGAGTACTCTATACTAACTCTGCCTTACAGATTTCCAAACCCTATTATTCTAACCTATGTTTAAGCTACTAACTAAGCTTAATGTTTACTAATCAGGACAATTAGTTTTAGAGGGAGGGTAATGTTATAATCTACTACTCTAACACTCTCAGTTCTGTTAGTTCTGTACTCTTCTATACTAGAACTCAGAACTTCTGTCTCTTGAGTGTATAATATATAAACTATATGTAGACTGATTCCTATAGTAACTTCTACTACTATCCCTCTCTACCTTATTACTCCTTTCCTTTGTCTACTCTTTCATTCTTTGTTTATTCTAAAGTCTCTTACCCTTTATCTACCCCTTCATTCTTTGTTCACATATCTTTGACCTTTTTACCCTTTATTCTTTATAGTTTATTATTCTCTAAGTACTTTTGTGTAGTTTAGTATATATACATGTATAAGATCAGACTAGTTCTATAGTCTTAATCTTATCTACTCTAGATAGTTCTGTACTCTTAAGCTTACTCTATATACTCTATACTTGTCTTACTTACTCTCTCTGTCTGTTCTGTAAGTTATGACTATGTTCTAGTACTTGTGTCCTGTTATTTCTGTTATGTAGGATAGTTGTAGCCTAGGTCCTCTTACTAAGCCTTCAGGTTACCTCTACACTATTACTGACAGGTTTTAGAAGAGTCTTACTACTAATTACTATAGTTAAACTAATAGTAGTAGTAATAGTACAACCTGTAACAATCAAGCTAGTAATTTAGTAAAGTGTTAATTTACTTAAAAATCATAATAAAGAGAGAAAAAAATACTATTAAGAGTAGTACAAATAGACTAGCTAAAACTGTCAGAACACTAGTTGCTAGTAATATAGTAGTAGTAACTGTACTAATAGTAATGAAGGCAGCTTTAAGCTTACTAAGCTAACTGTTTAGGTCCTTCAGCTCTTTTTACAGTCTCTCTAGTATCTTATTGTCTTTATCCTCCTTGTCTTTAGCCTAACTAGAGAAGGTGCTAACAAACTTACTAAAGTCATCCTTGAGTTTATAGAAATATATAGTAGTATTGTGTGTGTCTGTAGAGAATTCCTCTACATTCTGTACAATCTGTGTGTAAGAAACAAATACATAAAGTATAAAAAAACTATACATTTATAAAATCCTCTAGCTTAGCTTTCCTCTTATTGACAGTGTACTGTTTGTTGTTACAAAGTAGTAATATTACAGATTCACACTCTTCAAATGGGAAAATAAGTAATAGTAGTATAGTAATAGAAAATATACTTACATTCTCTATAAACAGCAATCTTGACAGTAAGATCCTTACTCTAATACACAACATTGTAGAATGTCTATAAAAGAGTAAAAACTTCTGAGCTTGTAGTGAAAAATGACATTGAATTAGGAACAAGTGGCAAACTTGATACAATGTCTTCAACCTTAGAGTAAATGGGCCTGATTTAGGCAGAATGTTCTTTGAGTCAATTGCTGACAATTCCCTCATCAGGTTAGTGAACATTGTCTTAATTTTGTTACAAGCAGAGGAAGCCAACATTACAGACTGTTTGAGGTGCTCAGCAATTAGTAGGTCTGATATGGCCTTTACTATACTGACAGTGAATACAGCCTTCTTATTAGATGAGAGAGGTGGCATCTTGTCTGAATTGGTAGCAAGAATATTGATTTTGTGGTCAGTAAGTTTTTTGGCAGCAGCTAGGGCCTTGAGGGCATCTGGGTTTGCACCAATCTGCCCATCAATTTATTTGATAACATCTTTGTACAGGGGTGGTACTTTAGTAGCCATGATTGCAAGAATGCAAACAGTGGTGGTGAACAAGTAGTAGCAGATTGTAGGGTACTGATACTATCTCCTCTGAATGATACAGCCATCTTAAATACTGCAAGACCTGCAAGGACGGGGTCAGTTGTCTATAAGATTTTTTGTAAAGGTACAATATAATTCGAGATTGCTCACTTGCTGAGTACTCTACAGGTAGGCAATATTTTTGTGCGCATTTGATATGTTTTCGAAATTGTTCCGGAGTTATACCAGTCCGGACCTCTTTTGCTAATGCATGCGAGTGAATAAGTCTACCTGACATGTCTGGCTTCCCTGCCTGGTTCTGAAAGATGTTGCAAATATTTTATCGCATCAGCGCCCGCCAGCATGCAGTCTGTAACGAAATGCCCGGCTTGATGAAGAATACATGCAACTTCACACAAACCCCATGCCCTAGTTCAATTAGAACACTAACATATAGTTCAGTAACTTTAAAGTAGCTCTGTTAGGTGACATTTAGTAAGAAGTTAGAAAACTCACCAGGCTTTGTTCGTGCGTTTACCTGGTCAATAATCATAAACTTGTGCCTCGTTAAGGACGTCAGAATGTGTGTGGCACATACCTGACTCAGACCCGATGAAGGGGGTATACAACTTCCGGGAACAGTTTGCTTCATGGGAATCGGTAATTGGAAGTGTGATCAACTTCCCGGCACTACTGTACCGTATTCTTATTCTCAATGTGGATAATTTCATTGATAGTTGTCAGTATAAGTGAGCACCCCGACTCCCTGAGTGTCAGACAGGTTCGAAGAACCACGAAAAGATGCTTGGAAGTGTCTTTGAGCGCACAGCCTACTTCAACTAAGCACAGTCTTAAGTTCTTGTACACAGTACTCACGAGCCGAGGAAAAGCCAACAACATTGGAGGTGGAGTCTACTTCCCCCACCAGCAGGAATCGTTATCGCCCAATCAGCAAGGACCATTAGATTATGCCTGGCTAGATGCAATAATGCAGTATGTTGCCGAACTGTATGTCATTGTCACTGTGGAAGTAGCAGGTAACGTCTATTTGCAGTATATGAATAGAATAATCCAGCTGATAGATCATCGCCCCTTCTGTCAGCTTGAGCTTGCATTCGAGAACCAGATTCTTTTTGGATGTTGGAGGAGTTGTCGCTATTTCGCCAGGCCAGGAGATTGATGTGTTTGGTCATGTTTCCAGATGATATCACATGAATAGTCACCATCACGTGCGTTTGCTTCGCCTCAATTGAACGCGCTACTTTTGTTTCGAGTCTCGACGCGTCGTCCATGCTCTGGCGTCGTACAATGTCTGTCTTTCCGTCCGCCTCTCTGTCTCCGAAGAGAGCTATGTCCTCGTCGAGCATGCGCGCCCCGGATGCATTGCAGGACCCCTTTGGCGACGAGTGGCCGCCTAAACAACGATGCTCAGACAACCTGACAAAAAACACATCTTTATTGAGGGACAGGCTACAAGCCTTCGCACAGTACGTCTCTCATCCCCTGCAACAGCATCTTACCCTGATGACCTTTAAATTCCAGCCCTGCAACAGCCTCATCAACCAGCACAGCAATGAACCCTCTAGATTTGCAATGGTCAGGACCCCGATCAAGGGTGAACAGTACATTGACAGATCGTGAAGAAAGCAACACCGCCAAGTTGAAATTTCAGTTGTTCCTTATCTCCGTATTTCTCATGCACATCCTTTGAAACACTCAAAAGCAGCACGATCCAGTCAACCATCTTATCATCTTGTTCACCAGCCATGCCTTCTCCTAGACCGGTATCCAAAGGCTCAAAGGAGAACGCTGTCGTCCAGTCACCTTCACAGATTAATCGTGAGCCTGCGATAGTCCATCCTCCGGCATTGTACTCCTACAAGGACTACAAACCAGCGCCAGTGCGGGTGTACGTGCGTCACGAGGAGGAAGCGAATGTCCTCGTCCAATCGCTTTCCGGGTATGCCTTCAACAAAAGATACGCTTTTACTCATTTTTAATGTCGTACTTAGTGGTGTTGGATTTGACCTTGAATGGAAAGTTATATTTATAACAGGCGCGAAACAGCTGCCTGTTGCTACCGTGCAATTGAGTAACCGGAAGACGATTCTCGTGATTCAGGTATCTGCAATGAACAGTGAGCTGAAAGTATCGACATCATTTTATGTACATCCGTTGACAACCATTTTTGTAGAATTTCCGGTTAAACTAAAGGTATGGAAGAGTATCAAAGATTCGCTGAAAACTCTAATCTCATTACTAGGAACTTCTTGAGGACCCAAAGGTTCTGAAAGTTGGTGCGAACATCTTAAGTACGTTTACTGCACCTTTGTGCAGTGATGCACTGCTAAGTGTTCCTCAAAGATGATGGTAACAAACTCGCAAGGGACTACGGCGTCCGTCCGCAGGGACTCATTGAACTCGGAGCTCTCATCCGACAAGCCGATAAACACTACCTCGAACGCTACTACCAGGCCAGTGCCTCTCTTCGCCCCGCTGGTTCGGGTACAGTATCGACAAGACAAAGTCCAAAGACAAAGAGACGGCCTGGTACACTTATCAACCTAGCAACGGTGATTGCAATGTACACGGGAAAGGAATTGTCGAAGGGGAGCGTACGCACAAGCAATTGGGAGGGGGTGCCATTAAGTGAGGCTCAGTTGGAATGTACGTCCGCCTTTCTCGTTTTACTTTCTTTTTTTTTCGTGTCTGAAAGAGTTGGCTGAATAGACGCAGCAAACGACGCACATAGTGCGTTTATTGTGTACGAGAAGCTTATCGAGATGGCGAAGGAGGCGAATGTCGTACTCAGGCCGGCGGAATATACGAAGGGAGTCGAGGCGTTGTACTTCAACAAACCAGCTAAGAAGTTTGTACCTGCGAACCCGCTGTTTTGCCCTGCTCCGCTCGGCCAGGCTCCACCAATCAAACCAACCTTATCTTCCTCTTCAACTTCGACTATTTCTACGACTGCGACGATGACCACTGCTTCGGAAGTTGTTGCGACCTCTTCGGCGACGACTTCCTCCACTACCTTAGATCATCCGCATTTAACACCTACAAAAGCCACATTTGTCAAGTCTAAGAGTAAGGCGCAATCAGCTCAGGACAAGTCAACAACAGCTACGACCCCAACCAGAAAAGCAATTTATTCAGTAACGTACGCGGAAGTCGATGATAGTGACGTAGAGATTCTGGAAGTACGGGTTACTCGTCCAGACAGACTTAAGGGTTTTGAACCAAAGTCAAAAAATGAGGAGAAGGATAAAGCTGCTACGACGAGGTCATCAAATGATTTGGAAGAAGCAGGCTCAGATACGATAAAGTACAAACGTGGGAAGTTTAAACCCAGTTATAATTCTGTCTCGAAACCTGGTGCCTGTGATACGACAGCAAATACTATGACTCAAACGACGTCTTCGATATCCGCAAACGAGAACGTTAGTGTGATAGAACAATCGAGAGCCGAACGTGATGTGGACCCTTTATCCGTGTCTACGGAATTCTTCTCTGCAGGGACTCGCGTATCAGTGTCTACATTCGAGTCCGTCATGTCTGCAGATCCAAATCCAAGTGCACACCATACTCCGCAATTCAAACCGAGCTACAACAAGACACCAACACCGACAAAAGCTCCCTCAACACCATCAAAGCATACAATAGCAATACCTGCAAAATCGACCCACCATTCTGTCTCTGCCTCTTCCCATATATCTGTGTCAGCGTCCCTTTCTTCCCCTTCCTCCCAGTCATGCTCCCCCTCGCATGCCCCCTCCCGCTCACCGCGTCCACCCCAGCCACCACTTTCACGTCTCTGTGCGACGAAGCAACGACCCCAACATATCCGCGCCTACAACCTCTGGCACGTCCGGCAGCTCTCACTTGATGAGATTTGCGTTTTGCTGAGGTCGAGGGAGAACCCGCTTAAAGTTGGGACTGTCATGTACGTATTCATTCATAACATCACCTCTTTTTGTTCCTCCTTCGTCTTTGAAGAATGAACGGATGGGCTCATATACGTTATGCCATCTTACAATTACAGAACATATATCGTCACTGCCCTCCAGACCGACCCTAAACTCCAGTTCTCGCGTGAGAGGCTTAGAGCGCTCATTAAAGATGGGGATTCGACTGGAGCCGCGTGGTTTTATCATGAAGAGTGGTTTAAGAGACTTGATGTGAGGAGGTACGTTAATATGGAGGTTGGTGCTGCCCGTGACGGTGAGGGAGAAGGCAGATGACGAATGAGGACAGTTAGATTGTGAACGTGGATTGGATGGTTTATGTTTTTTTGACTCTGATTTCTTGAGTATGTATCTGTAGAGTCTAGGCTATGCTGGATACAATGTATACGCATATATTGTATGCACTTATAGAGTAATTATGTAGCTGCGCTGGATTAGACCGGGACAGTAGCACGAGTACAAGTACTAATCCTTTGCTAAATTACTTTCGTTGAACACCTCCGATCCCTCGATATTCCATCTTAATGAAAGAATCTCAATGTGGGGATACTCTTCATCTCTGCTGCTGTTCCTCTGGTTCAAGTACCGCATCACTTTCGACGTCCACCTCGAATCCTTCGACATCATCGTCGTCTAATTCCGGTCCAGGCGGAAGTTCAACAAGTGGATATTCTTCATCTCCACTGCAATCTCCATTTTCGCCGTCTGCAGAGCTATTTCTGCCGTACAACTCAAACCACAGAAATGGACGGCTAATTCCAAACTGCCGCCGTACGGCGTCCATTGACTCTTAACTTTTTGCATCCAGGCCCTGAATCCCACGGCCCAATTAGGGACGACCCTGACCAACCACTTACATAATTCTTGCAGATGGTGGCCCTTGTCATAACCAGAGTGAGAAGTTAGGAGGGGGGCTTGGGGGGGGCAGAGCCCCCCCAATTAGGTTTAGGGTAAGTTTGGGCTGTTAGGTTTGGGTGTTAAGTTGGGTGTTAGCTGGGATTGGGGGAGGGGAACATGTATTTTCTAAGGAAAAGTACTTTATTTTTGACTTAGTGAAATGCGAGTGTAACTACATGTGGCCAGTTGGAGCTAACCAAAAATGGGCCGTGGG